TTTGATAATTGCATTCTGCAAGCGGCTTCGACTTGAAGCGGCCAACATAATAAACTCCGCGACGAAACGGACGTCGGTGGGCAGCAGCGGAAGTCCATGAAGTAGACCTAACCCCAAAAGTATCTACAGTCTGTGAAGCTTTTGGCGCTGCATCAACACCAGACAACAAGACAATCAGCGGCGTCTGTGAGCCACATAAAATAACCGAAAAGTAATTCGCCACCAAAGTAAACTTGAGCACACAAAAGTCGAGTTTTAAAATAAACTTGCTGCAAACTGTATTTTTCTTATGAAAAGGGTAGTCCTGCGGGAGGGAGGTGGGAGGAGGAAACCGGTCCGAAGTCGTAACACTCGAGGCACAAAAGGCGCATTTTATATAAAAGAAAAGTGGCTAACTAAGTCGACGACTACGTTCAGCGTTCCACGTTCCAAGTTGCAAGTTGCAAGTTGCACGTTGCACGTTGCACGTTGCAGCTGTAGTTGCTGCTGAGTGGCCTCAGCTCAAGAGTCATCTATGACCGGTCGCAACTGGTCGCACCACCACCAGCCCTAGCCCACCGACGCATGCCGGGAACCGCGCTGCGGTTCTCTTGTTGATTGCACCATCCGAACGAGCCAGCCTCAGCGAACCGCTGAGTGAGCACAAAATTGAGTGGAGGAGTCCACTTGAAAGCTGAAATTTAAGCTGATTTCGTTTGGAATTTTGTTTCTGATGCCGTCTCCCACCCACAAGTGGCAAAGTGTTGCCTACTTTCACAAGAGACGACATTGTTCGAAAAGAGTTTCACATCTCCCATAGATAGATGGATAGATAGATAGCTGTGTAGATGGATAAATAGGGTGACATTCTGCAACTGATGAGCATAGTTATTAAAGTTGAAAAGAAAACTACAAACTCGCATTAAATATAAAGAGCAGTCATCGGAATGAAAAGAGAGCTGCGATGCCAAAGCGAACAGAGATAAAAGACAGACACATTTTTTCAAGTCTAGTAACTATACTCCTTCGATACAGCAAAGGACTTCAAAGGACAATCGAGTATTATTAAAATATTAAATGAGTATTTTATATAAATATTGAAAAACTGCACAGGTATATTATAATTTATATAAGAAAACATGCCCATTCCCCAACTTAAATGTAGATAAGCGATTATCCTTACCATTTACAGCTTGTTCTCCTTGTTGTGGGTCAATGTAAATGCGAATGCGAATGACAGCGGATGATGACAGTCCAATAATATGACTAAGCACACCCTACGCACCACTTTATTAGAGCTGAAATATGCTTCATGGCTCTTGTTGCTGTCGCATTTAAGTATGCAGCACATTTCGCTTAGCCGGGCCATCGAGATGGTATCGGGAGTGTTTAGTATGGCGAACACGTAGCGAACGCACATTCAGCTTAAATACATGGATAAAATGTTGGACATTAAGCCCAAGGGAGAGCAAGCAGATATTCTATGATATAGCCAAGGTAGCACAAGATATATATATATATATACATATACATATATATATATATGTATATCAATGTAAACCGAAAATAGCAAAGCGAACATTTTATTAAAAATTTGCTGACAAATTTTACGCTTAACTTGGCTTTAGCAATAATAAAAAATAAAAAAGAATAATAATAATATAACTAAAATTGAAATTGAAATTGAAATTCTTTAAAGCTGAAAATTTTCGCTCACATGAAACGGGATTGCTTTAGCTTAAGCTAAAGCTGCCAGTGCAACGACTGCTGGCTGCAGGACACCGGGACGACGGGACGACGGGACGCCAGGACTGGAGCAGTCTGTGTGTGTTGGTGGGCAAACATTTTTATGCAAAAATGTTTTGCATGTCACTACCGAACGGGCAAGGGGCCGCATGTGTTCCCAGGCTGTGTATTTGCCGCAGACTTTTGCATGCATAACAAGTCAGCGCACGACGTCGGAGCAGGCGGACGAGCGAGCAAACAGTGTAAAAAAAAAAAGAAAAACACACACACACACACACACAGTGGCAGACAACGGGTTGAAGTGTGAGGGAACTGTGGGCTGGTGCAGAGGAAAAGGCAACGCCGTCAGCGCACAGGAAACGCATACAAAACTTTAGCGGGCGTCCCGGCGCATTTCGTAATCTTTGCAAATAAACGCGTGAAATTCCAAGGCGCACCGCAGTGGAACATGTGCTGCAACAAAGGGGCGTTGGTTAGCGCGGTGTTGGCGGTACACTGGAGGGGCTGGCTTGGCTTCAGTAGGTGCCAGCCGGTCGGCATGGGACGTGGCAGCGTTGCGTTGCCGCCATTCGGTCGACATGTGCCGCGCCATTTTGGCACACAGCTCACACGCGAAATTGCGCATTCAGATTAAAATTCTTGAACGCGCATTTCCGTTTCCGTTTTCTGCGTAGAGTAGTCGGATATGCCGAGCATTTTCCTTGCCAGCACCGCTCGTTACACGCTTCTGACTTTTGCTCTGACATGCATGGCTACTGTGGCCACTTCTTTTTATATATATATATATATATATATATATATTTTTTTTTTTTTTTTTTGAATGGGTGTTGCGGTTCAACGCAACCTTGAAGTGACCCCAGAGCAGATAAACCTGCATGACATTTGGTTTCTGAGCGAGGCAATCAACTGACAAAGCGATTGCTCACGAATTTATTTGATGTTTATATTTTCTAGGGGTTTGTGAAATGCAACTGTAATTTATATGATTAATTAGTTTGAAATGCATTATTTATTTTATTATTATTTACTTTATTTACTTATAATAATGTTATAATTATATGTGATAAGTTAAGCTTTCTTATTGCGTTTTATGAACAGGCTTTCCTTTTTAAAATATTAATATAAATAACAAAAATTAATAATTCGGCAATTTTTAGTGTTATCTACTTATCGTTGGATTTTAAACTTTTTTAAAACTTTAATTCCATCAGGAAATTATTTTAGGTAGTTATGTTAAAGTTTAATAAATTTTAATAAACACACAAATGTTTAATAAAATAAAAGTGTGGTCTTAAAGAATCTTTCTTGACTCCAAATTGGGTAAATACTAACAGAAAGCATTCAATGAATTATATCATGTCCAGTGTTCAATTTAGGCAAAGAATCTTTAGCCTTCATAGTTTACGGCTCAACCAAAATGTCAAATAAATAAATTACTACTAATATGAAGTCAATGATTTTCTAAAAGCTTTCTGCTTTTTTTAAGGCAAATAAATGCTTCAGAATCTGCACTAATATTTTTACGATAATCTTGTGTTTAGTATGTATTTAATTAATGAATTCTGTCTGTATAATTTAGTCGAAGGACGTTCCAAACGATCGATGTTCGTTACTTAGCAAATTGTCAACACTATCTGCAAAGTTATACATTGGGAAAAACAAATACTCGGAGAACGAAAGCTTCGGCTCTTCAAACAGTTCGTTCGTTGATCTCCGACCCTTCGGTAGAGTTAAATTAAGCAAAAACTCTCTTGAATATATAATAGTATTGTGTTCTCTAAATAGATCAAAGCGTACGTGGACTGAGCGTGTGATTTTGTATACGACGCTGTAAACTACTTTTTATGACTTTTTGAGTTCTTCGCTCACTTACTAAGATTTATTGTGTGAGCATCAATCGCAACCCTCTCTACATGATGTTCGTTAATAGAGTGCAGCACGAATAGATCGACTCAAAGCCTTCAGAAGAAAACAGAAGCGAAAAGACCCAAGGTTTCTCGTTCAGAAGCAGAGGGAGCTAATTTTTATTCTGTAATAATTTTTATTGCGTAAGTAATCATACGCTCAACAATTATTTATAAGCTGAATTTGTTTACATAAAATTAATTAGATCATGTGTATATTTAATTTAATAAATCAATTGTAGTCAGTTGTCTATTTCATTTCTGCTATAACCGAAAATCAACAAATTGCAATTCTGCATCAGTTTTAATACGTTAGTCACATAAATATTGGGATATATTTCAATTAAAATACTAACATTCAGTTTTATTTACTAATCAAATTTAGAAAGTATTACATCGATATTTTGAAAATTTATTATTGAAAATTGTAAATAAAATGAATTTCATTTTGTAATATCGTAAGCCACAGTTTCGCCAGTTAATATGCCCAATTTTTATCAACAAATCGCAGAAAACTAACAAACATGTTTGATATTTGATTTACTGGCCTATTTACAGTTGTTATGCATTATTTAATTTTATTATTTTGTAGGATGCAATAAAAACTAAAGAGCTATTGTATGAACAATTTAAAGCGCATTTCTAGAGCTTAGCCGTGATTTGACAGAGGTCTTTAATAAATATTTGAGCAGTGCCTTCACAGCGTAGCTGAGATTTTGTTGGCAGGCATGGCCGTATGAGTAATATGGCCTGCCTAATGGCATATCACTCATACGCCTCATTGCATTAAAGAGCAAAGCGCAAGTTGCTTGCTATGCAGAACCTGTCCTGGTTATCCTATTGGAGCTCAGGCCTTCAAGCCAGCACACACACACACACATACACTCGCACACGCTTTATTTGGCCAGCAAACGCTCAGGGTCAGGCCGCTGGCCCCAACCGTATTGCGTCTTTCTTTCGCTCCCGAAACTCGGATGCCCCAAAACGCACATCAAATAAAAGAAATGGCTTTGTTTGCTGCTTGTGGCATAGAATATCAAGCTGATAAGGGCCAGCAGAAACAGACTCGGCCAGCGACTCTAAAGACAGCCGACTCAAGCTGCCAGTAGCTGAGTTTTGGATGGCGGATAGGGAAGGGGTGGCGTCGGGCCATTGGTGGGGATTTGAAGGCGTTGTGTGTGCTGGCGCATAAATAATGTGACCTGCCGGACTGCGATTATCTGTGAACTATTTTTCACACGTTGCTGGCATACAAAATGGAGCATTCGTTTTCAACAAAGGCAATGCGGCAAATATATGAGCTGGCTGGCTTAGTGGGGCCACTTGCCGCATTAATTTGGTCATGTCTTATTGAGAGTTTGCTCTACTTACATTGTACTAAAATAATGAACAATAATATCCAGAGGCGTCGATCGAATGTCGGTCTCATGACTTCATCACTTCTCCAAACTGTGTCCAATGTATTTAACCTGCCGATGCGCTTCAACTTTCCGCTCACTGCCACATGTGTGAGGACCTGCAATAATAAATGAGAGCACAAATACGCATGATTAATGGTTAGGTTCTGCTAAAAATATTTAAGCCAATTAAAACGGACCCAGCCAAATTTCACACACAATAAATCCAACAAACGTTGCCCGGGGCAATCTCCACTCTTTGAGGGTCAACACGAAAAAAGGAAAAACAAAACAAAGCGGAAAAGGAGAAAATTAACAACTGTTTGCACATAAAATTAATTAATTTTGAACAAAAAACTTTGCATTGCATAGCGTTAGGCGGATTAACTACAGGCAGCCGGAGCGACCAGGGCTGCGCCATATAGAGACATCAGACATCAGTGGATTTTCGACAGCATTTTGTCTGCAGTGTTTGAAGTGCAGCGCAAACAAAGCGACAAATGTTACGAGACGAAAGGTGTGCACACTTTTCTCAAACACTGTGCAGCCTGTGTGGGCGTGCCTCACTAGAGTGCATGTGTGTGTGTGTGTGTGTGCTACACAAGGCAAACAAAATTAGCAGCAAAGCTGACGTAGATTTTAACGAATTGACGTTGTTTCGTTGTCCCCGTCGATCCGGCTATCCGGTTACCCGGCTACCCGGTTGCCGTGTCCCATCTCCGGGAATGTGCCTCATAATCCCATCGTCCACAATTAAGTTGTCTGCCACTGCCGATGGCTTAGTTATGAATGTGCCCGGCTATCCGCTGAAACGGCTAGAGCTTGAATTATGCAAGATGCAGCGCTGCCCGCTCGCACACGGCAACTGATTGGACTAAGTCAGAGTCGGACGTAAGATTGTACAACTTGTTCATGATTGAGCAAATCTGTTGTCCAACAACAACAGCTGCATAGCAGTAGCTGGTAAATAGTTTTCAAGCCACACAGTGACATGCATTCTTGGAAGCAATAACTACTTAATTACGGGTCTCTACTTCACTTCTAGGGAAAATTTACTTCATGCAGCAACAAGTTGTTGATATCGTAAAACATTCCTTTTACAATTATGTTTAATTAAATTTTAGATAATAATTTAGAGCTAATCGAATATCAAGAAGGACACATTGCTAAGCAGGAAATTGTTTTGTGGCTCTGAGTCTCTTATTAAATATCGATGGAGGACCCAATACCAGTGCTTAGACTTTAAGTTAACCGTTATTGTATATTAATTATAAATTCTAATAAATAAATGAATATTTTTAAATGGTATATTTAATTTTTTTTTTTTTTTCAATATATTTTTAATGTTTTAAATCTAATTCTTTAAATCTATTTTAATTTTGATATATATTTTTAAAGCTATTTTTTTAAAAATAAAATTCTTAAAGTTTATTATTTTTTTCTTCTATTTAAAAAGTATACGAATTATGTATAGATTCCGCATTTGATATTATTATGAAATTATTAAAATTATTAAAATTTCTATTTAAAGAACTGTAAACAACTTTTATTAAATTAATTTCAAAATAAAAAAATTAAAATGTTAAACTTAATTATTTTTCCCATTTATGCCAATTACTTGCTATACGTTTTATATTATACCTTTTTTTTTTCATTTTCTTTTTTTTTTTCTTTTTTACTTTGTTTTTTTTTCCCCCTTGCTTTTTCGCTTCAGTCTAGTCTCAAACCCTAATTGATTTTATGACATTGTATTTAAATTAGTGTCCATTATAATTTATAATATTTTTGTTTGTATTCATTTTTGTTTTCCAATCAATCTAATTGGCGAATCAAATTGAGTTTGTAGTAAATTATGTGATTAGACATATTAAAAAAAAAATATAATAAAATTTAAAAAAAAAAGAAAAAAGTTAATTAAAATTTAGACCTCAGTCTATAGTTGTATTTTTCTCATTAAATTGCAGTTCATCATAATTGATATTTACTTTACTGAGTTTTTTTCCAATTTGTGTTAAAGTGAGTAAAAAGTCTTTTAGCCCATTTGGGCTCTATGAAAATTGCATTAGCAGCAACTTGGCCAAATGTGAACGAATTTAGTTTTGGGAAAAGCACAAATAAGTGACATACTTGCAACTATTTGGTGTCATGTTCGACATTTAGTTAGCTGCTGAAGCCAACATTTTGTAATGCAACCAATGCCAGACGACAATCGACAGCCGGCAGTAACAACAACGTGGTCGTTCGGCAAACATATCACGCGATCAATTTGTCAAACAAGCAACAATAGCAGCTGCTGCTGCTGCTGCTGCTGCTGGTAGAACAACAGCCCAGCATAAATGAACTAAGCAGTGCATTGATGAACGCACTGACAAACTGAACAAATGAGCGAATGAATGGACAGAGAGACGAAAACAACAATTGTGGCCAAGCCAAATTGACAGAAACAGCGACGGCATTTGACGCACACCATCAATATGTGACTCTGACTATGGCTATGTGTGTGTGTGTGTGTGTGTGTCAGTGTTGCTGTTATTGTTGTTCTTTTTTGGCTTTTGACATGTCACACAGCTGTCATTATGCAAGACGAAACCCTCGCAAACAAGGCCAACGAAGTAACTATTACATGGCAATTGTTTGTTGGCTGAACAGACTTTGAAACCAGTTGGGTTGGAAAAGGGACACAGTGTGTGTGTGTACTTGTGTGTGTGTGCTTGTGTGTGTGTGTGTAAAATGAGCTAAAAGTTTAGATATGCCTTCGTATATAAATCAAACACATGGCACAGGCCCGAACACCGTCCCAGGCACTGGCCATTAGCGGCAGGTGTTGTTGTTTAAGGCCAACTGCACAAACGGCAGCAAGTCGCCGCATTTTTCTCACGTCTTTGGGACAAGCTGTTGGCAAATACTAAAAACCGCCTGGCCATTTTATTTATGGCCGAAATGTGAAGTCTGTTTGTTTATTGGCTTTGAAAAGTGTGTGGAAGAAAAGCTTACAAAAAAAAAAAAAAAAAAAAAAAAAAAAAACCAACACCAGATTTTAAAACAAATCCCAGCTTTGGTTACCTACAAGTATTTTTGCTCTATATACATATATGATATATTTATGTGTGTGTTAAATAAATAATATAAATCCCATCAAGGCTGGCCCACTTGCCAGGCACACAAATTGTTTAAAACAAACCAATTATGGCAGCTTACGAGCCTTGCTATCCATTTCGAAATTAACCGTAAAGCGCACAATTTATAACAAAAACCTCAATTAAAATAAAAGCCTGCAACACTAAGCGAAAGATTTTAAAAGAATATGTATCTAACATATACAAACACATGAATGAATATGTGTGCATATAAACCTTATGAAATTTATTTCATAATATCCACAATAAACAACAATGGCAACAACAACAACAAAAAATCTGCAAAATTTAATTGCCGCAATTTTAAAGCCACAAGCGACTGGCAACAACAGCCAGAATATATCTATATAAACACAAGCATGCAACATCACAATAATCACAATGCTCATCATCATCGCATCATCATCATCGTCATCCTGATGATGATGAGGCAATGCAACCAATGCATAAACAATAAATGCCAATGGTATGTAAATTTTTGCCAATTTACCGCAACAATGCAAAACTATCTGAGCTAGTCAAGTGGGCTGCAACTGGGCGTGGCATGCTCATGCATTCTGTGCTTCTGCATGTGTGCGTGTGTGTGTGAATTTTGTGTAACGTTGTAAAGCTGCAAATGTGTTACACACGAATATTTTTTGGTTAACCACCAAATAGCAAAAGGTTTGCGCATGCAAGGGGCATTGGTTGGGTTGGAGAGCGCAAACAGTTGGCAGACAAATTAAATTTACATGAAACTCGTAAAAGTCGCTGGCAATGGAAAAACAATGAAAATCAATGCTGGGTGGAATATAAGCATATAAGACTAATAGATATCCTGTATACTAAAAATTCTTTAAATTATATTAGTTGAAAATAAAAATAAAAAAAGAGAAACAAATAAAATTAAATTAAAAAATAAATAAATAAAATAAAATAAAATATAAATATAAAAAAAAACATACAAAAAAATAAAATAAATAATAATAATAATAATAATAATAATTATATTTTTGTGATGATGTAATTCTGAATAAAATTAATTTCTTTATGTAAAAAATATTTAACAAATAAAAAATAAATAAATTAAAATATTAAATTGATACATATATTCATATTCATATCATAAGATAAGAAAGTACTACAAAACATAGATCAACTAAAAATATGTTAAACATAAAATGTACAATATTTTAGCATCAGTAAATTTTAACTAAACTAATTACATTCCTTTTAATTATACTTGAAAATTATAATCATCTTAGAGTTGAATAATTCAGGAACAAATACGACTTTCGCTAGCACAAGTTTAAATAAAAAATCAATAAAAATAAAAATATATATAATAATTATTTTTTAAAGTAAAAAATATTGTACAGATTCTGCACTTCATAATATTAAATAACAAAATAATAATTATCTTTTTCCCACTTAAAATCTTGCACCTTTCCTACTTAAATCAGCATAGCTACTCAACTTATTTTACCATAGAGGAGTATATTACTTGATTTTACAACGTTGTACTTGTCTGCTGCCGTAGCTTTCAATTAACAGTTGAACAAAAAATGAGAAAAAAAAAAAAAATCAAAATAAAAACATTTCGAGTGCTGTTAAATTTCAATGTGAGTTCATCTGTCGCTTTAATTTGCATCGCCTACTACTTATTGGCGCCCGCCAATTGCTTTATCATACAGTGGCTGAGAGCTGGCGGTGTACACGAATCGCTGATTCTATAGCCTGCAGAGATGTTATTCGACGGCGGTTGCCCCACTGATTGTGCAAATGAAATGGATGAGATGCACAACAACAGAAAATTGACCAAAAGAGAGCTGAACATTTTTGCACTGCATATATTAAGGCGCTGCGACAGCTACTTTAATTGCGCGTAATCCATTTTTATTATTACTTTTTTGTTTTTTTGGTTTGGCTTAATTAAAATTTATGTTATTATTTGCTTTTAATTTCATAAATTTTAATTGCTCAGCTTTTCGAACTAATGCAGC